CAGAGTCTCTGATTGGCGGACCAGAGTGTCTCTTATCATAGTGTCTCTATTGTTGCCTAGAGACACTGGATGCTTTCCAACACGTACACAGGCGACACCGATTTAGTAAAGACCATTAGTTAGAGATTTCCTGCATTTAATTGGAGCACATTTTTAGATTTAAAAGAATATACCAATCGAACACAAGATTTCACTACTACGATTGTTACTAAATCGGTTTAACATTCGCCGTTTAAACGTAGTAACTGTGTTACACGGTGTCGCCTGTGTACGTTGTTGAACCCAATGTTCTAGGCAACAATAGAGACACTATAATAAGAGACTGGCCACCACTCTAAATCGGTTTAACGTCATCATGTAAACGTAGTAAGTGTCTACACTGGTGCTTTCCATCTATGACACAGAGAGACACAGAATGACACTGCGAAACACAACTCGATCCTAAGTTTGGCCGTATTGGACGTCAATAGTGCCAACATATCGAGCAAAATTATTTTTTTTAAATGTAGTTCTAATATACATTATTGTCATTTTTAGATGTGTTCCGTTTCTTGTATGATGAGTATAATGCATCATTTATCCTTGTTTAATGTATAATGATAGGGATAAATGATACATTATGCGCATCATGCGAGAAAACGGAACGTATCTTTTATCTGCAAAAAAATGTCTTCGTCGCGTTCGAATAACGTAATACCGAACTCGGAATTCTTAGGTAATCATATTCAGTTTTTTTTTATTTAAAGAACTATATAAGCTTACAAACATTACGTATTTGTTGAGGACCCATTATTAGTACATATTCTATTGGATTAATTTTTATTGCAGATATGTTCTTTTGTCGGCATTGTAAAGAAATTATTCCTACATTAGATGATGTTAAGCATCATTGTTTCAAAGGAAAAGAAGTTTTCCTTGAAGAAAAAAAGGAATTATACTCATCTGAAATAAATGAGATTCCATGTAATGTCAAATCGAAAAGATCATAATTATTTCACAAATATAAAATAAAGCGCTTTGTAACCAGGAATGAAATAATCAATACATATAATTTATTTAAATTTATTTCAGTATGTATCAATAATTCTTCAAAAAATGCACTGGCAATAATAAAAAAGATGCACTCATGTTTATGCGTGATGGTCTTTTTTACGTTACAATCTCTCTAGTGAGCATGTTTAGTAACTTATGTGTTCTAATTAAACTCTGTGTCTTATAACTGTGTCTACTATACTGTGTCTTACAGTGTCTCTCTGTGTCACATTGTGTAACACCAAATTCTCCTTGAAAAGCACCCATTACAATAGACTGGCCACAACTCTGATCCGCCAATCAGAAACTGGCCACGACTTTGATTCGTCATGTTTTGACTAAATCCTATGAGAGAGAAAGAAATATATACTATCTCACTCTAACTAATAGCGATATTTTTATTTTGCATGTACATTGATTTAAATGTATTATGCATGTGTATTTAACACGTGGAAAGCGTGATAATATATTCTATATAAATAATAGAGATACTAAAATTGCAAAATATAGTCATAAATTAATTGTGATAAATCAATATAAAAAATGGGATGTTAATTTTTTTACTTAAACTTTATTTTATATTGTAATAAAGTTTGTTTATAATAATAATAAATATGTATAATAATCCTTTCTAAAAAAGGCATGACATCGATACTCTTGCATCTTTCAAAATTTTCTTCGTTTATTGTTAACACTTTTCTGCGATGAGTTCTCTCGCTGCGCTAACTTTGTGAATAGCTATCATTGTATTGATTTCACAGAGAATTGTTTTAACAATTATGTATCAAAAAGTTAAAAATATTATAGTGTAACAGTAATATAATAGTATTATATTAGTAGTATAATATAATAGTATTATATTAATTTTTGCTCTTGTGTTGGAAAAGACAAATATCGAAAAAAAGATAAATAAAAAATATAAATAAATAAATAGTAATAAATTTAAAATTGCTGATATTAAAGGAAATATATTAATAAATACGATATATTAATAAATATATTAATAAATTGATAATATAACAATGGTAAAATAATATATATAATATATATAATATATATAATAATATAAATAAAGTTTTATAAATATACACATTTTATTACCTTTAAAACACTTATGTTTTTAAATTATAATATTACAATTTAAGATTAATGTATTTGAAAATAAGTGGGAATAGCCAAAAGATGGCGGACCAATCAAAAGTTGCTTTTTTGTGACCAGTTTCTTATTGCAATGTCTCTATTGTTACCTATTACATATACAGAGCTTTCATTTCTCTTAGTATATGTATTTCTCTATACTCATTTTCGTGGTTCAATTCGGAATTCCTGTAAACTGTATTTAATTTCAAACTCAGTTAATCTTCGATCAACTTGCTTTGTTTTTCTTCAACTTTATCTTGGTTCCGATCAACTAAACATATATCTGCTAACTCCAATTAAATTTGTATCAATATGATTGGTGCATAATGAGCATAACAAAAAGGATGAAAAATTTGACAATAAAAGTATCGAGATGATCAAGCAAAACCAAATTCCAAATAATCTTCAACTTCATGACGAAACTCGGAAGAGTATAAAAAAATTGTTGGTTAATTTGGTAGTGGATAATAAAGTAGAGTTAATAAATATATTGATGAATGTAAAAGAAAAACATGAACTTGAAATCGAAATTTTAAAGATGCAATTGCAAAAAGAAAAGTTGCAAATTGAAATATTACAGAAAGAATTAGAGTTAAAAATTTTTATTTTAGAAAAAGAACAGCGAAGATTAAAGATGTTATAAATATTGAAAGATATCTATTAGATTCGGAAAAATTAACGGAGACCGACTGGATTTGAACTCGGGATCCCTCGTCTACCAATCCGACACTTAGTCTGCACGACCACGACGGCTCCTCTCTGTTAGCTGTTTATATTCCGAATCTCTTTCATGACCGCTTACGGTCGTCTAATTCTTACAAT